GCAGCAGTCATATTTGTCCGTCTAAAAAATGCGCTGAATATGCGTTGTGTAAATGGCTTGGTTTCGGTTTTAACCCATTCAACTTCTCCGCATTGAGCTTCTATATTTCTCTAATATTTTGAATGAATAGCGCAGCAGCAGCGCGTCCCGTGGGCTAGAGCTTAAAACCAATCCTGTACTTGTTCTTTTCATTTATAGCCACCATGGCAAACCGTTTTAACCATATAAATTAGTGAACAATTAAAATGAGGGGAAAATGTGCTTCTTTTTATGTATATATATATATATAAATAATGGTCCAATGGAAAATAGAAGCATTGTAATTTGTTATTTTGTTCTTTTGATTTTGGGCTGAATTATGCTGTTAAATTTTTGAAATTTGTGAGACTAAACGTGTCTGCTGTCTGAAGTCAAGTCGTTTGGATTGGAATGGAGTTAATGGAGTGTTTACAACTGACCTTTTACGCCTGAGCCAAACATTTTTCTGTGAAGCACTGCCTGAAGGACTGATATTATTAAGCACTGTCTCTGGTTATAGCAATACTGTCTATTTAAGGATTAAGTGCAGGAATTCCAGAGGTATTTATTTTTAGGAGATTTTATTTCAGTCCATTGGCTGCACGTCCCCTCATTAGGCATTGTTTAAAATCTGCAGGGAGGCAGGATTTGAGCTGCTGTGACTGTGAGCTGCACAATCTCTCCAGCATCTCTGCACTTCAAGAGGATGTCATAAATTGTAACCGTTCATTCATCATCCATTGAGGTCACGTTCATTAACTATAACTAGATAAATTAGCAATAACTATGGCAGTTTGCTTAGATATAGTTGGAAAGAATGCATTAGGCCCAAGCCAATAGCTTGTTTTTGGACTGGGTTTGGTAGAGTATAATGCCTATATTTTGGATCACATTGCCACATTTCTTTACCACATTCCCTCTTTCACATGAGAGCATGTTGGTTGTGTCCAGACATGATAGGAACACTGCTACAATACATACATATATACTTTGTGTTATTTGCATCCTGCTAAAGCACATTACTCCCTCCTCAGGTGCAGGAACAACATTGTTGGCCGTCAGTGTGACAGGTGTACCCCAGGTTTTTATGGATACCCCAACTGCAGACCATGTGACTGCAGCGAGGCAGGAACTGAGAAAGATGTCTGTGACTCCATCACCGGACGCTGTTTATGCAAGGTGCCCCCTCATATTATATGTGAATATTACAATAATGTTATAATCCAACATTCAGGAATCTCCCTCATCTGTTATATCAATGATGTGTCTGCTCTCTCTCAGGAAAATGTGGAAGGCTCTCGCTGTGACCAGTGCAAACTGGGAACGTTTCATTTGGACCCCACTAATGCTAAAGGCTGCACTAAGTGCTTCTGCTTTGGAGCCACTGACCGCTGCCACAGCTCTGTCAAACGGAGGAGTGAGGTACTCTACTGAAGATGAAGAGATGTAGTTTAATAAATAAAGAAATCATTCACCTTTATATATGCGCATATACATTACCGTTCAAAAGTTTTTCGATTTTGAATGTTTTCGAAAGAAGTCTTTTATTCTCAAGCTGTATTTATTTGATCAAAAAAATATAGTAAAACAGTAATATTGTGAAATATTATTATAAACTAAAACAATTTTCTATATTAATATTTTTAAAAATGTAATTTATTCCTGTGATGCAAAGCTGAATTTTCAGCATCATTACTCCAGTCTTCAGTGTCACGTGATCCTTCAGAAATCATTCTAATATGCTGATCAGCTGCTTGAGAAACATTTCTTATCAATCAATGTTGAAAACAGTTGTGCTGATTCATATTTTTGTGGAAACTGTAAACACGTTATAAATGTCTTACTGCCACTTTTGATCAATTTAATGGATTCTTGTTGAATAAAAGCATTAATTGAAAAAAACATCTTATTCTACCTAAACTTTTGAACACTTATATATGATAGAAAGTGAGATTTTGAGCTTACCTATTCTTATCCGTCCATAAAATTTTTGCAGTTTGTAGCAATATACCAGTTACAAAAATATGGTATACTGGTATGCAGTTTTGATATTTTTATCATGGTGCTTCCAGTGTGGGATTGAATATCCAGTCACAGTACAATAATCATATTTTACCATCTTTCTGTTGAGTTGTCACAGGCTACACGCAAAAACATGCATACAGCATGACCAGTGTAGTCTGAATTACACACTGATGACCCTTATGAGCTGGTTCTTTTAGGGATAGTTAACCCAAAAATGAAATGAATATTCTGTCATTAATTACTCACCCTCATGTCTTTCCAAACCCGTAAGACCTTCGTTCATCTTCAGAACACAAATGAAGATATTTTTGATGAAATCCGAGAGTTTTCTGACCCTGCATAGACAGCAACGGAACTGACACATTTAAGGCCCAGAAAGGTAGTAAGGACATCGTTATAATAGTCACACGAAAAGTATTCATATGAAAAGTTTTCATAATGTTACAGTTGAACCACTGATGACACATGGACTGTTTTAACGATGTCCTTACTACCTTTCTGGGCCTTAAATGTGTCAGTTCCGTTGCTGTCTATGCAGGGTCAGAAAACTCTCGGATTTCATCAAAAATATCTTAATTTGTGTTCTGAAGATGAACGAAGGTCTTACGGGTTTGGAAAGACATGAGGGTGAGTAATTAATGACAGAATTTTCATTTTCAACTTTCCCTTTAATATATCATTAAATAGACCCTCATATTACAAATCTTTCACTGAACGGATTTATTGAATCACTCAGAGCAGTTACAAAATCAACTCTCCTGCTGATCTCTTTCCTGAGAGATTGCTTGAACTTTAGGTTATCATTCTTTTCAGTGAACATTTGTGTACGGGATGTGAAAATGAATTCAGTGTAATTACTGACTGCAATAACATTTAACTGATGTCTTTGCTTTGATCTGGCCACCCCTACAGATCATGGACATGGCTGGCTGGGTGCTACTGAGAAGTGACAGACAGGAAGTTCCCGTGTCCACGTATCTCGATCAAGATCTGGTGGAGGCTGATCTGAGTGACGTACCTGACGTCTCGCAGGACCTCCACTGGCATGCTCCTCGCGCTTACCTCGGCGATAAAGTGAGTCCACAGCAATCTGGGATAATATTCACAAGCATGTCACTCAACCAGAGTCATGAATCTTCTACACCTAGACTTTATATCCTATATGAGTCTTATTATGACAACATGGCAGCTGCTGTGACATATGTTTCCACCGAGCTTATGGGTTAGCCGGCGGTCAGACAGTAAGGGGCCAGACGGACAGCTGAACTGAATGTCCATCAGATAACTCACATTAATGCTACAGGAAACATGAGGGTCAGACAAACAATCTGATAACTCATGCACACCTTGTTTAGGCTGGTGCTAAATGTTGTTGATGAACGCAGGCTTAGTGCAGTCTTATGTTGTTGAGAAATCTTGTCTTAAGCTGTTTTTGTGTATTCTTTTCTATGTGTACGTGTAGGTGTCATCCTACGGAGGCTATCTGCGCTACCGCTTGCATACGCAGACCATGAGAGGTGATGCTTTTCTGATAGTTGAGACCACACGGCCTGACGTTATACTCAAGGTACTAGAGCAAAAAGTCTCCTTCTCTCAAGTTTACCAGGAGTTTTTACTTGAGGCCTAACTGAAAGTCTTTGTGTGCAGGGGAATCAGATGACTCTGGTGTACATGGAAAGAGAGTATTCCTCTCCTGAAGACCCTCATGAGGGCATCGTTCACCTGGTAGAGGTGAAGAACTTAGTGCCAGACTTTTAAAAAAAGTCTTTACAAAATAATTCTGCAAATGCACAGTTGTTGCAATTCAAGTTTCCTCTTTCTAATTGCAGGAGAGTTTCAGGCACGCTCAGACGGGGAACTCTGTGTCCCGTGAGGAGCTGATGATGGTGTTGGTGGCGCTGGAGTCACTGCAGATCAGAGCGCTGCACTCTCAGTCTGCTCAGTCTGTGTCGCTGCGCGCTGCTGTGCTGGAGGGGGCCGACAACCTGCCCTCTGGCCGCCATGCAAACAATGTTGAAATTTGTCTCTGCCCAGGACACTATCTAGGAGACTCCTGTCAGGTAGTGTGCTTTAACAAAAACAAATTATTTTATGCAATCGATTTTCTATACTATCATTTAATGCCTCTTTACTTTAGAGGTTCTGTGTGAATTTGAATAAATAAACCAGTTTTTATTAATAACTTTTTAATGTTTAAACCAGTAATGTTCAAACTTCTACAGGTTTAAACACATTCAAAAGTTATTGGTCATACTTTATTTTAAGGTCCTGTTCTCACTATTAACTAACTATTAACTACGACTCAATATTAATAGTTAGTAAGGTAGTTGTTGAGTTTAGGTATTGGGTAGGATTAAGGATGTAGAATATGGTCGTGCAAAATATGTGCTTCATAAGTACTAATAAACAGCCAATATGCTAGTAATATGCATGCTAATAAGCAACTAGTTAATAGTGAGAATTGGCCCCTATACTAAAGTGTTGCCAGTTTATTTAGTTATTTATTTAGCAACAAAGAATCAGTCAAACCTTCAAAAATGTTTATTTTGTATCTTTGGGGGCATTTTGTTTTAATGTAGTATTTTATAGTATTTATTTTTACATTATTTAAATTATACATTTTCAATACAAGGTTTTAACACAATTAAAATACTCATTTTTTTATTTTATATTTTAATTGTGTTTTTATACAATTAAGCTACTTAAGGTAGCTTAATTGTACCACTAAAGATGTTACTAGACAAAACTAGCTACATTTAACACGCTTATGTTACATTTTTAATTTAAATAGCTATTTACCTAACTTCTCTCTCTCAAGAAGTGCTTTTATTGTTTTTAAAAAAGTACCCTGTGTAAACTACCCTGTGTGTGGCAAACTGTGCTATAAATTACATTTTGGAAATGGTATATAAATACTAGAAATTCACATACAATGTATTTGGTATTTTTTTTATGTATTACATTTTATTACCCATCCAATCAGAAATACAGATTAATGGAAAACAAGTCATTATTAAAAGAATGGAATTGTTCAAAATGGGTTCTGATATTAAAATGTTCATTTCTTCATCTCCTTCACTCAGAAATGTGCTCCAGGCTACTACAGAGACACTAAAGGGCTGTTCCTCGGGAAGTGTGTCCCTTGTAACTGTAACGGTCACTCTGATGAGTGTCTGCATGGCTCTGGCGTATGTGTGGTTAGTCCATCTCACTAAGTCATGTATAAATCACATAACAGACTTAAACATGGGCAATATATAGCTATTTCAGATTCCACTGGGTATAGTACAATGCCAACCTTCATGGAAAACAAAATCGTAAATCTAATTAAGATTTAAGATCCTGGGAAAGACCTCTCAAAGTTCCAAGAATGGATGTTGGAACACAACTTGAAGATTCATTTAGAGTGTTTTCTGAAATTGTAACTCTTCATTTGCAGAACTGCCGCCATAATACCGCTGGAAATCATTGTGAGCAGTGCCTGGGCGGTTTTCATGGGAACAACACTGTTGATGGCCACGCAGTGTCCTGCTCCAGCTGCCCCTGCCCGCTGCAAGTGGCTTCAAACAAGTCAGTTCGTCATCTGTACCACTAATTTACTATTTCCTGTTCATCTCAGACCTTTTTTCTTAGTCTTTCTCTTGTTGATTTGCTTAAAAAATGTAATGTCCCAGTGTATTTTTTTCTTCCTGGTTTTTTCTCTGGTTTCTGCTATTACTCCCAGTAAGAGCTGATTTTAGTGCTGGATATCCCAGCATGCCTCATTCTCAAATTAAAGGATGTCATCTGTTTGATCTTGTTATCAGTTTTGCCATTCGCTGTGTGGAGAAGCCCAATCATATGCAGTGTCTATGTAGGCCTGGCTATGCTGGATCTAAGTGTGAAAGGTAAAGTTATGAAGCTTATTGTTATTGTTATTTAATCAGTAATAATTTGTATTATTTTTTTAATTTATTATGATTTGCCATAATAATAAATAAAAATACAATAAAAATTAAATTAAATAATTAAAATGTGTCAATTATAATTTTTATATTAAATGAAAACATGATACATTTATACATGATGAAAATATATTATTATTATTATTAAATAATTAATTAAATAATTCAGTTATTTAATTATTAAATAATTAAATAATTGAAATATGTAATTACTAAATAAATAATTAATTAAATATTTAATTTGGACAAAAGCATCTGCTAAATTAATAAATGTAAATGTAATTACTGTCAATTAGAAAATGATATATATCAATGAAAATTACCCCTTTTCTTTTACCAAATACAGATGTGCACCAGGACACTATGGAAACCCAATGGTGATTGGCAGTACATGCCAGCCGTGCAACTGCAATGGAAACTCAGACCCCAACATGCTGTTCAGTGACTGCCACCCTTTGACGGGCGATTGTCAGAGCTGCATGCACAACTCCGCTGGGCCGCACTGTGAGATCTGCGCCCCGGGTTTTTACGGGGATGCCATCACTGCCAAGAACTGCACTCGTAAGACACATTTATACACTATTGGGAAAAAATTCAATTTATCCAATCTGGATGGTATTTCCTGTATTCAGAGAACTCTCGTGATTGCCTTATTTCCCACCTGTATTACCCAGGATGCAACTGTTCTCCTTGTGGCACTGAACGTTGTGACCCTCACACGGGACAGTGCCACTGTAAGCCTGGTGTGGTGGGAGCCCACTGTGACCTCTGTGAGGTATGTCTGCTTGTCTGTTTTTTCTTTATCTATTGTTTCGTCTCGGAGGTTGATGGTAATTTTGTTTTGTTTAGCATGGGGCATTTGGATTTGATACCTGCTCTGGTTGCCGTAAGTGTGATTGTGATGCAGCAGCGGCATTGGTTCAGCCTTGTGACCCTGTCAAAGGCACGTGTGCCTGTCAGCCTGGGGTTAACGGACCGAACTGCCGCCAGTGTGCTCCAGGTTACTGGGGCTACAGCCCTAATGGCTGCAAGAGTGAGTCAAACACACATATGCACACTGCAGGGATATGGAATATGATACATCATCAGTTGAATTTATTGATGTATTTGTGTGTGGTCTGTAGAGTGTGAGTGTAGAGGAGGCCGCTGTGACCCTCGCACAGGAGAGTGTCATTGTGCAGCAGGTCTGACAGGGAAGCAGTGTGACACGTGTCTTAATAAATACAGTGTCCCTGTGCTTCATGGGGCAGATGTGCACTGTCAGCGTGAGTACTGCTTCACTGCACAACAAACATCACTCAGTCACTCGTTTGTCCATGAATACACTTCATTCATTCACTCATTGCTTCATTTATTTATCAGTTACTCTACTGTTCAAATGTTTGGGGTCAGATTTTTTTTTTGTCTGAAAGAAATTAATACTTTTATTCATTAAGGATGCATTAAATTGGTCAAAACTGTGACAGTAAAGACTTCTCTAATGTTACAAAAGATTTCTATTTCAAATAAATTATATTCTTTTGAACTTTTTCATCGAAAAATCCATAAAAATGTTCAGCAGCACAATATTTTTCAACATTGATGATAATAAGAAATAAAGGAATGTTTCTTGAGCAACAGATCATCATATTAGAATGATTTCTGAAGGATCTTGTGACACTGAAGACTGGAGTAATGATATGCTGAAAATTCAGCTTTACATTACAGAAAGAAGTTTTTTTTCTGTTTTAAGAATGTAGACCTTGTCCTTCACGGTTGTTGTCTCTCTATAGTGGTAGATCGTGTGAAAAATGAGATTGCAAACCAGACACTAAATAATGAGGCTGTGGCAGAGAACATCAGAAACAAACTCAACCAGTTCAATCAGCAGCTGATGGACCTGAGAGACGCTATGAATGAGGCCGTCAAAAACACAGCAAACGCCGTAGAGGCCAACAATATTCATGAGAAACGCATGGAGGAGTTGCAGGTATTTATACAAACACATGCAAAAACACAGGATTGGGGAAAATATCAACTTTGAGAGTTGGAATTTGAGTTCAACTGGCCACACATCAAAAGAAGTTCAATTGGGATTTGAATTGGAAGAGGAATTTAATGGAATTGCGATATGAATAAATGAATTTCTCTGTTGTGTTTTTCTAGAATACAGTAAATAACCTGCTGAAGAAGCAGAAGGAGGTGGAGAACCAGCTTCAGATGGCAGATGATGATGTGACGCAGGTCAACGACCTCCTCTCCATGCTCCAGGACTCCAAAGAGGTACATATTTACAGGAACAGTACGCTTGTGTATGCAGATTCAAGTATAGCATTTCTGTGTATTATAAATGAACCTCACTGAGCTCATTCTTGTACTCATCCACGCTGTGTCATCTCTATCAGGACTACGAGCGTCTGGCTGCTCAGTTGGATGGAGCGAGGCAGCCTCTAGCTGAGAAGGTTCAGAAATACGCTCCCTCCGCCAATAAAATTCCCCTGGTAGAAGCTGCAGAGAAACACGCTGAAATGCTGGACCAGCTCGCCAATAATCTTTCCAGGTGTGTGACTATTTTGTAGTAGTCGACTTGTATTGGTTTGTAATGAGCAATTCTGATGCTAGATGCTAGCAGGGTGACTGATGTATTCCAGCCTACATAATTAAAGGGAAGCACATAAAGGGTCCACAAACTTGCTGAACTGAACAAATATTTTATTATTGGACACAATAAAATGCAATTAGCAAAGCAATTTTGTATATTTAACACATTTCATATACAAATTCAAAATTGCTTTTACACAAACAAAAATAAAGGCAATTTTAAAATAACATACAAATAACCATGGAAAGAAAAATTTAGAAAAATTGAAAAAAGCAATTCATTCATTATCGATTGACAGGTCAATTTTGAGACAGACCTGAGGAAACTGCTATGTCTGTTAGTCAGCCAAGAAGAAACAGCTATTGACTGATGCGATAATCTTAAAATTCCTGAATATTAATCAATATGTCAGCTTGGCTATATAGTGCACATTCTTGTACTCTCTATTAGGACCTCCTCTAATATGATGAATGTATATTTAGATGTAAAACTGTGGCCTTGTGTTTGTTGTTGTGCAGTCTAATATCTGGCTCCAATCGAGACGGTTTCATACAGCGTGCTCTGAACGCATCAGGCGCATACACTGACATTATAAACAGCGTGCTGGAAGCCGAGACTGCAGCTAAGAAAGCCAGTGAAGCTGCTACTGAGGCTCTGGAGGTACAGTCAATGCATGCACATCAATGCATCTTAATTGCTCTGAAAACATGAGTAAGTGACACAAGTTTATTGATCTAGAACATAAAGGACAAAGACCTGCCCCTACAAGCTGCTACACTGAAGAATCAGAGTAATGAGCTTGTGAAGGAAGCAGAGGAACTGAATAACAGCAGTCAAAGTAAGGACAGCAATGTTTTCTTTCAAGGTAGGCCTACATATTTGTTGTTGTGAACCTCGGTCTAATGCAGGCCATTACTATATCTTTGGCAGGTCTAAAGCCACGTGTGGACTCAATACAGAAAAGTTTGCAGGATGGTGAAAAGAAAAAGGAGAAGATGCTCCAAGACCTAAAGAACATTCAGAATAGCCTCAATGCCAGTCGAGGTCAGAGTTCAAAGTCCTTAGTCTTCATTGTGTTCATTGTGATCTAACTAATAGCTAGCTAACTTGCAAATAAATGCACTACCGTTTAAAAGTTTGGGGTTGGTAAGATTTTTTTCATATTTTGGAAAGAATTATCTTATGCTCATCTTTTATTTGATTTTATTTGATTGTAATATTGTGAAATATATTTAAATTTAATTTAATTTATAAATTAAAATAACTGTTTTCTATTTTAATGTTTTAAAATGTAATTTATTCCTGTGATGCTCATCATTACTCCAGTCATCAGTGCCACACGATCCTTCAGAAATCATTCTAATATGCTGATTTACTGCTCAAGAAACATTTCTTATTAAATTGAAATTTTAAAACATTTTTGTAGAGATTTAAATAGATATTTTTTTCAGGATTCTTTGATGCGTAGAAAGTTCAAAGGAACGTAATTTATTTGAAATAGAAATTGCTACTTTATAAATGCATTTACTGTCACTTTTTTTATCAATTTAATGCATCCTTGCTGAATGAAAGTATTTTGCTGCCTGCAAACATTTAAATGCTATTATATATTTTGTCTGTCAAGCTTAATTGAATAAAAACCATGACCTAAACATCGTCATTCAAATGTGTTGAAATGATGCAGAAGACATTGCAAAAGACATCGCCGCAGCTAAGAGTGCAGTGGAGCAGGCTAACAACACGGTGACTAATGTTAGCAACGCGCTGGCTCCAATTCAGAAGCAGCTGGAGGAATGGCAGAAGCAGTACGGAGACTCCAACGCTACCAGCGACGATATCAACAAAGCCCTCAATGATGCCAATACCTCAGGTGCGTGTGAGGAAGCTCTCCTGAGTGAGCGTGAGTGACCTTGACTTGCCTTTCGCATCAATTCCAATGTGCTTCTGTGTTCCTGCAGTGGCAGCGCTGAGCGACACTCTTCCTCAGCTGATGAAGAAGTTGGATCGTCTGCAGAGCACCTCATTTCAGCCGTCCAACATCTCCGACAGCATCCAGAGAATCCGCCAGCTCATTGAACAGGCTCGCAATGCTGCCAACAAGGTACAGCTCTTCAGAAGTCTCAAAGTATCCCCAGTCTTTCCCCAGTGCTACAGGCAGTGACTCGACTGTCTGTTCTTCAGGTGAGCGTGTCAATGCAGTTTAATGGTAACTCAGGAGTACAAGTGAGGACGCCCAGTAATGTGGCCGATCTGGCAGCATATTCATCGCTACACATGTACATCAAGCTACCACGTGCCACACGTACACTACGCCAAACTGACACCACCAAACCCCAGTTTGTCCTCTACTTTGGTAACAAAGATGTAAGCCAACCTCCTCAGCCTAACAGTGATTTGTACCATTATATGTTGCATGTCATGCATTATATATTAAGCTGTTTTGAGTTGCGCGTGATTAATTATATACAGTATGTGTGAATATAAACACATGTCTGTGCTGTATGTGTGTTGTAGTCCAAAAAGGATTATATGGCAATGACGCTGGAAGGATCAAAGCTGCGCTGGTACTTCAATGTGGGAGAAGATACAGCGCAGGTGATAATGACTGAGGACGTGAATAAGGATTACTTCAACAAAATTGTCCTGGAGAGGTAGGAAACGATGGACACCATCATTACCATGCAAAAAAATAAGAAATCAGGAAGGGGGCCAACACTTTTTCACACCACTGTATATCTGTTGAGCTTAGACTTCACTGAAATTATATTCTAGCTGTATTTACTCTGCACTTCTACTGTATTTGTGTGCAGGACTCTACAGTATGGTCAGATGGCAATGTCCACAGACTCAGAAGAAACAAAAATAGTTAAACAAAGCATGGAGGCAAGAGAAGGAAAAGGCCTGCTCAACTTACCAGCTGAGGAGACTGTGTTTTATGTCGGATCTTATCCCAGCACATTCACTGTGAGTAAAGCAAAACCCATATCTATGGAGCAGAATATAATAAACACTTAGGAGTGGGCACTTTTGACTTGAGCCAATAAGCAAACACCCTACTAACCACCTAGACCACCCTAACAACTCTTGTATTCTGCAAGGATGCGTTAAATATATCAAAAGTGACAGTAAAAATGTTTTTATAATTACAAATATTTGCAAATAAATCCTTTCTATTCATTAAAGAATCCTGATTTTGAGTTCCACAAAACTATTAAGCAGCACAACTGTTTTCAACATCAAAAATAATAAGAAATGTTTCTTGAGCAACAAATCAGAATATTAGAATGATTACTGAAGGATCATGCGACACTGAAGACTGGAGCAATGATGCTGAAAATTCAGCTTTGCCATCAAAGCAATAAATTACATTTTAAAATATATATATTTAAATAGAAAACAGTTATTTTAAATTAAAATAATATTTCACAATATTAGTGTTTTTACTGTATTTATGAACAAATAAATGCAGCCTTGATAAGCATAAGAGACTTAACATTATAATATAACACTTAGATTTTTTTTTTTATGTATTACCATTGGTTAACTTTGGATTTAATGCTTACATTGTGATTGCCTTTGTCGTCATCTCACACTCATTTAAAGTTGATCTTTAAAAACACTAATAATTTAAGAAGTCCAGTCACATATATCACATTATACAAACAGATTGTTTCAAAGCAGCTTCACAGTAATAAATAAAAATGTAATGTTGCACAATTCCTCCTCTGTAAAGCTACAGTAATTCAGTTTCAGCTGTAAAGCAGCTCATAGTGTGATTATTCAGTGTTGATTCAATTCAGTTCAATAGCATTGTCAGTGTTGCATCAATTATGAAAAATTCGATTCGATAAATTAAAGCAGGTTTTCATAAATAGTGTCATTATCCAGCTCAATTCAGTTCAAGTTTTGTTTTCATCCAATGGTGTCAGTGCAGTCATATCAATAATATTACTCAATTTTAATTGTCTTTCAAACCCAACCGCGCAAGCCAAAGGTGACCAAAACTCAGCTAGTATAGAATTTTAATATTGGACATTTATTGATTATCTGCGATAACATTAAAATAATTATCAGCTATTTTTTGTCATCCATTTCAATACATTTTAATATTGGTGAATCTTCCAAAAATGTTTTACAATGTCTTTCTCTTTCTCTCAAAAACACACAGCCTCCAGTGGATCTGAACATGACATCTCCTAACTTCTTCAAGGGCTGCCTGGAGTTATTAAGTCTAAATGAAGAACTAATCAGCCTCTATAACTTCGGGCAAACCTTCCAAATGAACACCACAACTGACCTCCCTTGTTCACGGTCAGAGGGGTTTCATTTATTATTTATTAAATCATATAATCTGTGTTAACCTCTTTGCGAGAGTGCGTTCCTTGTAAAATCGCTTCATGTGTTTAAACAGGAGGAGGCCAGCAAATACGCCCGAGTGGGGAGTTGACGGAGTGTATTTTGATGGTTCGGGCTATGTTGAGGTTTTGTTCGAAACTCTGAAGGACGACCGTGTGTTTGAGCAGCATGTCAAACTCATCTCACAAAACGGCATTCTCCTGTTGTTCCAAAGACAGGTGAGACGTGGACTGCAAAACTTCGGATTTGGGATTGTTTGACACATGTTATCATGTGTTAATGTTTTTCTTTTTCCTTCTAAGGATAAGTATGTGTGCATAGCTGTGCAAGGAGGTCTTCTGAAAGTCCTCCATAACCTTGATGGACAGGTGTCCAACTTAACTGACCCACAACAAGATTCCAAAATTAAAATCAGTAATGCGCAGGCGAAATTTGTGAGTAAAACCCTCGATTTATTCCAGTGTTTTCCTGCCTGTCTGCTCATCTCTGTAAGTTGTATGTTTTGTGTTTGTTGTTTTCAGTTGGATGTTATCTTTCAACTTTCGAAAAATGAAATGCTAGTGAGGCTAGATCGTCAGAAGGTCTACACGCTTTCCAGCAAAGAGCTCAGCTTCACGGGACGATATTTCCTGGGTGGAGTGCCAGATGATCAGATGCCCGAGAGGTGACCATGCAGATATTTCCACAGAGATCCACTTGTACACAGACTGGTGAGCCCTGCTGTGTATAATTAACTCTCTGTGCATGTCATTGCAGTTTAAAGAGTGTGTTTGGTAAGCGCGGCTCCATAAAGGGCTGCCTCAGGACCATTAAGGCCATGAGAAGCTTTGTTCAAATGAAGACCATGAAGAGTGCAGGGATCAGCTATGGCTGTCCAGATGACCTGCTGGTGAGCATCATCATACTTGTTTCAGTGGGGTTGGGAATCTACATTCAGTTTAGCTCATGTTTCTGGAACATCTGTGTTCTTTTGCGACGAGGGAACACGCTTGCATTCACTCAGTTAATTGTGAAAAAAGAGGCCTCCGAAATCTGGGGTGTGAAGTAACCCGTACTCCAATCCAGCCAATATAAAGGTGTTATTGAGTTTATTTTGTTGGTTTGAAAATGTAGGAAAACTTCACACTGGCTGTTAAACGCTTTCTAACTGCCGTTGGTCCAAGATAATGATTCAGAAGTTGGGTTTGATGTAAACATCATTTCCAGTTCATTTCTTCACTTAGTCCATCACATATTTTGGATTAGTGAACACATATTTACAATTAATTAAGAGTTTTTCCTCCTAATTACTGCGTATTCATAGTAAGTAAGGCAGTTGTTGTAGTAGTTGTGTTTAGGTATTGGGTAAGGGGTCTAGAATATGGTCATGCAGAATAAGGCATTAAAATGTACTTTATAAGTAGTAATAATAAACAGCCAATATTATGCTAGTAATATGCATGCTTATAAGCAACTAGTTAGTAACGAATAGTGTTCCCTAATAATCAAAAGTAGTACCCGTATTTTATATTTAAATGCTCCGCACCCAGCAACACGGATGTCTGAATTTTTGCAAACACTGTACCAAATTTCTTTTCAACAAATGACATTTAAGTATACCGAAGCTTAGGAATATTAATTAGGCCATGTCAATATTACTTGTCGTAACATTTTGATCAAATATGTGACAAAGCAAAGGAACACATTTATTTTTTATAACTGTAAAAATGCTCAAATGACCCCAGTTAAACAAGGTGCAACAACAACTGAGTTATTGAAGGAAACTTGACAAGAAACTTGATACCGCAATCACTCCGCATCGGAATCAGAATTAGAAGCAGAATCTGTAAATGCCTTATGATTCCCAACCCAGCACATATGACATCTGCTGCATTAAGACACATGTTCATGTGTGTTTGTGTTGTGCGTCAGTTTACTCGTGAGGCTCATTTCACTGGAGAAGGTTACCTGGGCTTGAAAATGGACGATGTACTGAATCCAGACAGCTTCTATGCTGGCATCGGCTTCAGAACTGATCAGCAAACCGGGCTCATGTTTTACCGCCAAGGCCAGGTACAAATTACAGTTTGACATATCAAACCATATTTTGTGTATGTAACATACAATGTCAATTTTAAATTATGCATTTTAGTGATTCCTACTAAAGACACTTGCATCCATTGTCAAAGTTTGTGTTTGTTTTCGTCCCCTCAGAGTGACAGGTGTCAGGTGGTATTAGACAGAGGCCATGTAGTAGTCAGTACTGAAAAAAATGGAGTCAGGTCTCAGAAGACGTACAATGATGACAACAGTCACTATGTTGCATTTTACCGCATCAGAGATGGGTATGCCACTCTGTGTTTAATATTAATATACAATAAAATTGCGTTTGTGTATAGGGTTGTGACTATTTCTGCCTTTGTTTAGGTTACTTGTTTATATAGATGATGTTCTTGAGAAGCAAGGAGTAAATGTCAGTGCGGCTGACAGCAGGACGGCGCTGCAATCTGACCTTTCTTACGTGGGCGGCACACCTGAGTCAGACGGCCTCACCAACCTCACCGGCTGCGTCAGTAACTTCTTCATGAAGAGGTGTGTGTTGCACTGAAGAGAGTGTTGAAAATAGATTCATGGAGGAAAATGCTAATGAATGATAATGAATGTATAAGCTTTATGTAAGTTACAATTAGATCAGCTTTTATCATTTCTACATTGTGTTCTTAGAAATAATGAGCCCCAGACAGTAGAAGATATGAAAAAAGCTCAAGAGGGACACGAATACACATTTGTTTGCCCCTCCTCTTCAGTCCCACTGGAAATACTGGATTCACCACGGCGAATGAATCCAAAGGTACTATTTTTAAAAATGTAGATATTTTATTTTATTGAGTGGCTTCCGCAGCTCGGTACGCTTTCATCTCGTTTTTTTAAGTCTGGAGCAAGACTGTATGACATTTTTATGTAATTTTTACGTAGAAAGGGTGACAGCGCACCGCATTAAAATAAATAATCATTCATGTTTTCATAACCGCTAGCCAAATTCAGAAACTAAAATTAAATCATCTTTGAGAGCAAGGGGGCCCCCTGGTGTTTTGGGGGCCCTGCGTATTTTGCGTATTGGGAGGATTGACAAAAAAAATTTCATATTATATTATTTTGCTAGTATGAAATCATTTTCCGTTAACGCATAAACCGTTTCTTTTTAATAATATATTATTTTCTTAATGATAGATCATCTTATTTTTTTAATAAGAGCACATGAAATGTGCGTCTGTTTGTGAATAAACAGAATAAGCCTCATGGAAGTCGAATGGCACGTGGCTCCTGTCAGGGTGAGATGTCCATCCAGGAAGTCGACGCTCATCATTTCAGTGGCTCCTCCCACAGTCATCTGAGATTTGATTCGCTGCCTCAAGCATTTAGCAAGGCGTGAGTATAAAAACAAACAGTAATAAAACACTGTAAAGCAAATAGTTCAGTAGTTTTAAATGCTTTATTAGGCATCACAACATTATAATGTACAGTATGAAATTTATATTCATTTTGCGATTACAAGTGTTTCTAACAATTCAACTTTTAAGTGAGTGTTAGATGACAGAAAGGTCATCTAAATGTAAAAATATGAGAATTTAGCATGAAAATCATTATATTAGGTCCAGTACTGACCAAAACAAAAAGTCACTAATATTGACCAAAAATGCCCAAATCACACGCCTGTGTTAAACTCCATCTGCAGGCCGCACATCTCTGTCGGTGTGCGTGTGAACTCCTCGAGTGGACTGATTTTCCACGTGGCGGAAGGGAAAGGCCAGAGGACCATGACGCTCTCTGTGTTCGATGGCCATCTGATGCTGACGGTCAACGGTGGAAAGAGGAAGACCAGCATACGCAGCAAAAACAAATACAGCGATGGCCTGTGGCACACGGTTCGTATGTGGATGAGTCATGATTTTAGACATATATTTGTGATTTTTTTTTTTTTCTAGATCTCTTATTTTCTCAATGAACTGGTGCAGGTGTTTGTGAGAGTGGAGGCTGACAGGGCGTCTCTGACAGTGGACGGAATCCACACCCAGAACAAGAGGGTGACGGGCGGAGGGAAGACTGCTTTTGGTGCTCCTCTCTATATCGGGGGACTTCCCTCTGACCACAGCGCAGCTATGGTGAACACTGTCTTATACATACTCTGTTTAAAACCAGTGGACTGCCTTGTTGTCTGCTGCTTATGTAGTGGCTGAAATGAAATGCTCTACTTGGGCAATAAGAGAACAAGAGGCTGATATTAACAAGTATGCACAAATGTTGGATAAGATTGACTGTTGCATTTTTTTCATTTTCATTCAAATGCAGGTCTCCTTCCACCATGTTTTATTTAATTTTACTTGAATCAAAATAATCATATTTTATTTTAATAAGAGCACACACAAATACACACATATTTTTATTATAATTATATATTTTATTTTTATTTACTAAATAATCATAGTATTTTAATAGGAATTTGATGTTAGCATGAAAAATTATAAATAAATGCTTTTTAATTGCATTTAACAATTTTTTTTGCTATTTTTGATTTGATTTGAAATACAGGTCTTGATCTTTATTTTACAAACTTTTATACAATTTCATTAAATAAGAGACTCAATTCGCAATGATTCCAATAGAGTTTGATGTTAATGTGTTGCTAATCTAATAACGCAATATTCTAATAAGCAGAAATGTTAAATAACAGTTTTTTTTATTAGCTTGAACTATTTTTATTGCTAAATAAAAAATGTAAAATAATCATTATTTTAGTACAAACTCGTAAATATGTTTATTTTAATATTATATTGTTTAATGTTGTATTATTTTGTTAACATTTAATCATATTATTGTAATATATTGTAAGCATGTTTTTTTATTTTGAATAGTATATTGTTTTAATATTACATTATTTTGCTAGTATGAAAGAATACCCAGAAGAATAAATAGTTTATTTCTATTAATATTATATTATTTTTTTAATAATAAAGTGGATATTTTAATAATATATATAAGTCGAGTTTTATTTTGAATATTAATAGGTCACGATTTTTTCCACTGAACTCAATGCAATGCATTTTGGAAATGGCTTATCCATTAAGGATATATTTAATGATAATGATAATAAAGTTTGGAGCAGCCTTCAGTTCAGGAGTGCACTCATGATACCCTAAAAATCTGTTTTGGTGGGCAGCTCACTGTTTTGGATGGTACCTATCTGAACATAATCACAGAGATATATCTTTGTGACGTTGACTTTTCTGTCTTTCTTTGCGTTTCTATCTCTCAGGCTGGTTTCGTTGGTTGTGTGCGGGATCTGAATCTGAACGAGGTGCTGTCACAGAGCCCCTCTCACAGCGTGGGAGTGACACCCTGCTACCAGCAGCCCCTCCAGCCCGGGGTTTACTTCTCCAGTCAGGGAGGATATCTGACCATCGGTGAGCCAATCAATCAAACACACTTCAGACTGAATTCAGAAAGATGGTGTACAGCACACTTTGTTTATTGTGGCTCTCCGTCATGCTAGACGAATCGCTGGTGTTGGCCCGGGACCTCGAGATCCAGCTGGAGGTGCGTCTGGTTTCGGACTCTGGACTCCTGCTGCACGCTGGAGCCAAGAAAACTCGACAGCTGAGTCTCTTTCTGAACCAGGGCCAGGTGACACAGCCGTGCACTCACACATACACATGCAATAACTCAGATGCGGGCAGGGAAGTCATTTAGGGTTGGTGGTGCTGCCTGAAGGTCAGTGGGACGGAGCTATACACCAGTTTGAAGTGTCTGTTTGTTCTGTGCAGGTGACTGTGTTGGTGAACAGCGGAAGTGGAGAGTTTTCAGTCAGTCTGACACCAGAAGAGTCTCTCTGTGATGGAGGTTGGCACACTGTTGCAGGCGAGTCTTTAAAAACACAAACAATCACACTACGTTTGACCCTCGTGGTCTTTATTTTTTTTATTTGGAAACCAAAGACATTTGAATTTAATATCATTATTAGCATTAGTAACCTTACTTGGCTCTCAGTTTAACCCATTAATTAATTAGGGAAATATTTTAATGTAGTTAACGCACTGGCCCCGCCCCAAGACCTGTACGTCATCTTACATTTCATATAGTTGACTGACAAATATGATGCAGGGCAACAACTCCATAAAGGCAGTTATGCCCTAAAATTCAAGATATTGGGGCAAAAAATGCCCCCGTATGAGATTTTGTCTCATATTTATATAATATGATAAACAATATCACATGAGTAGCGAAAGCAATATCATACAAGTGCTGTTTATGTCCGAATACCATAAGTGCAAATGTGATTTTATACAATATTGTGTTTAATTTTAAGCTCAATTTTGCCAACGAAAATATGACCCACAAGGCCACAGCAGAACTGTTGTGCATCTGTGAGCAACATAGCGGTGCTTAGTTTCTGAATGAATCCGCGTTTTGAACGAATCGTGTGAATCAATGATTCAAATGCCCATGAATGAATGAAAAACTCATAAAGACATTTACCGCCACCTGCTGGCAGTTTTAGTTTCTACTTTAGAGTGTAATTTTATTTATTTGAAATAAATAAAAGTAGACAAATAAAAAAAACATTGACGGGATAGAACAAAAAAATTAACAGAAAATGCTAAGATTTTTCTCAAATTATCTTTTATGTTTCATAGTTTGTTATGCCGACTGTTGTAGCCTAAACATTTATGAGTAATACCTTTTATGTTGAATCAAATCAAATATTTTTTTCTAAAGCTACTATAATGTCTACTTGATTCTTTCTCATTTAACAATAATAGCTTGAAATAATCTTTTGTGGGTATTTTCACATGCCAAATGTATTAATTCATCGCCACACCATGTAATTAATTAGATTAAACGTTTTAATCGACTGGCAGCCCTAGTTAAAATATAAAGATACTCCGTCAATGTATTTGACACTTACATTTTTGTGATTTTAGTTGTGAAGAAGAGTAACGTCATCCAGCTACACGTGGATGCGGCGAGTGAACATGGAGTGGGTCCCAAACCGAGCAGATCAAATGGGGGCAAAGAGACTGTTTATCTGGGCGGCGTGCCAGGTATGAAATCTGAACGCTACCAAATCAATATTTACAATTCCTGTCTCGTCAAATTTTTTAAGCTAAATGAACAAAATCTTACATTGAAATAAATGAGGTGAGATGCTCAATATTGACATAAGCCTGTTGTCCTCTTGTGTGCAGATACCATAGCCGTGCCAGGTCTCCCGTCAACCGTCCTCTCTTTCCACGGATGTGTGAGGAAAGCTATACTGAACCACAGGCCTGTCATGCTGTCCAAACCCCTGTCAGTGTCTGGATCTGTGGGGACTCAGGGCTGCCCTGCATTATAGACCACAGCTACATTAGCCCTACATACTCTACACTCACACTATCAAATCAGCAGGTGGTGGGTTTGCTTAGCATTTAACTTAAACTGATATTTATGTTTACTTTCATGACACCTGTGTATGTAGATTAAAAAGCACTGTAAGTGCCGATACGCCACTGATAAACTATTACGTTCAGAACGGCAGGGACCAGAGGAATATAGAGATGGATTGGCACTGGATTCATATTGTTCCAGGTTTAATTAGTACATTGATACAATCATATGACCATTAAATGGGTTTTATGGGAATATTTAGTTGTATAAAAACACTGGAGAGCAATTGAATGTGGATTTCCCATGTGCCATAGGGATGCATTGTGTATTATGTAAAATCACTGGAGTTGAAAACTCAAGAAATATTATTTTTGTCACTTTTGATGTTTTGTCAGATTCCCTTAGCTGTATTTTTATTGGCAATAAACATTTCCTTTATGTTTTGTCACTTTGATTTCATGTTGATCAACTTCACACATGCACAAGCTGGAATTACAGAGTCAGTTGTTTAATAGTGTAGCTGTGGACATACAAAACATGCATGAATCAATACGAGTACAGGCAAACAACCCAGACTAACACTTCAGACAGACAACTGTGTTCAGAAGGTTGTTCTAATCCAAGCTCATGTCCTCGTCATCATCTTTCTTGTCTTTGGAATCGCTGTCAGCTGTCTTGCTATCACTGCCCTCCATGGCCTTGGCAAACGCTTCCACATCTGAATACCAAGACAAAGCAAATGAGTGCTTGTGGGTAGCAAACATGAAGTATTTATTACTAATAGTGAAAACTGAATTCAGGATATGCACTTTCCCTTATAAGTTCATATAAATTTTGAATTCAGATTTTATGCTGCTGATTGATGTGACACACATCTCACCTCCTTTATTAGCTGCGTCCACTGCTTCAGAGGGCAGACCAAACTGGTTCATGAGCGGGCCGAGCTGCCCAGAGGCCAGAGCACTGCTGAACATACTCATCGCCTGCACAGACACCGACACACAGCATGTTTACATCAAAGCAGAATATATGGACAAGCCCAAGACAAACATTTATAGAGATTCCCACAAATTGCTTCTGTAAATCACTACATATACCTGGTACGATTTTATAAAATAAACAACAAAATGCCATAATTCATTGATGACAAATTCTTCTGCCAAGCAATGATTTCAGCCGACATTTAGCAGAATGGTCTTTCAGAACCGCTTCAAATACGGCTCATGCAATCATTAGTACGGGATCTTTTTATAATTCATCTTTAACTTCTTTCCATTTTATGATGGGTGGCAAGCAGCATTAAAGGGAATTGTTCACCCAAAAATTAACATTTTGTTATTATGCCTCATGTTGTTCCAAACCTGTATGAATTTCTTTCTTATGTTGAACACAAAAGAAGATATTTTGAAGAACCAAACAGTAGATGGTCCCCACTGACTTCCATAGTATTTCTTTCCCTTCTATGGAAGTCAATGGGGACCAACAACTGTTTGGTTCTTCAAAATATCTTCTTTTGTGTTCAACATAAGAAATTCATACAGGTTTGGAACGACATGAGGGTGAGTGATTGATGACGATTTAAATTTTTGGGTGAACTATTGCTTTAAGGTGCAATTCCTAACCCTCTGGTGCTACTCGCACGGAAATCAAAAATGACAAAGGTTTTGTTTGTTTTTTTTCATTGAAATTAATGTATTATATATTTCGATAGTTTTTTTATTTACTATTTTGTATTTTTAGGGGATTTTATGGTACTTAATTATATTTATATAATAGTTATGATCCATGTATTAACTGTTAAGAACTTTTGGAGCACAAATATGAAAATTAAATATCTAACAGGCAAATCTTGAATACTTTAGAGCACAGACCAAAGTTTATTTTTAAAGCAGACACTTACTTGGCAGATTATTGCTGAAGTGAAAAAAGTGAAATCAAAAAAAGAAGTTTATTATGAAAAATGAACAAAAATATTTTTACTATTTATAACTTTATGAGAAGTATATTTATTCCAAAAAGTGTTTTACCCTAAAACTGTGTGAAAACCAAAGCCATAAATCTAAACAAGTTGTGTTCCAAATCTGAGGCGGATATATCTCAAAACACCAGCTTTCTGTAAGAGTTTGTTTTGGCGCAGTACCAAACATTTCCACTCGAGCTGTGTGATTCACTTCCTGGTCATTTTGAACCACTAATAGTATGTGACTTTTTATCTGGCCTATTTAACCTTTAATAATGTCCATACTTTTTGTGTTGTGCCAAAACCTTTACCAAGTTTCATATCATTCTGATGGGTTAAAAAAATTATTTTTAAAAAAGAAAATATTTTTGGTCAAAAATGACTGAACAGCCCC